CACGCGCGCGCGGAGCCACAGGTCCGCTACGACACGCGTCCGCGGATAGAGAAAATCAGCGCCATGGTAGGGGGTGGGAAGGAGGGGTAGGACGTCAGATATGACGCGAGCGCACATATCTATGCCCCCCCCCCCCCCCCCCCCCCCATCCCCCTCATTCCCCCCCAAGAGCTATTTCCACGCATTGCCCCGCGCCCCATAGATTGAGCTCCTCGTCCGCAGCCCTCCAGACGTAGAGTGCAAGTGGAACACGATGCGGGGCGCCCGCGTCGCCTTGCTCAGGAAGCACCGCCAGGGGCGACGTCAGGAGGAGGACGACGAGGAGGAGGGCCATGATGATGTTCAGGAGGATGATCAGGAGGAGCAGGACGATCGCGACGCGGAGAGGCAGGGGCGGGGGTCTGGAGAGGGACCAGGAGGAGGAGGATCAGGAGGAGGAGGAGGCCCGCAATGAGGAGCATCAGGATAAGGATCAGGCGGAGACTGAGAGGGGGGGGGGGGGCAGAAGGGGGGGGGAAAAGGGGCAGAGGGGTGAGGGTCAGAGGAATGACGACCAGGGGGGCCTCTGCCCTCCGCCTCGCCCCCCCCTGAACTCCCCCCCCTCTCGCTCGTCCCCGCCACGTTTCCTTGTCCCCCGCGCCCCCTCCTCCTCTTCGCGCACCCTTCTCTGCGCGCTCGCGCGCCCCCCCCCCCCCCCTCCCCAACACGGCCCGCCCCAACCCCACCCCGCCCCGCCCCGCCCGCTCGCCCCCCCCCCCCACCCACTCGACCCCAAGAAACGCCCCTCAGGCATCGCGGGGGATGGGGGGGAGGGGGGGCGAGAAAACCCCCCCGTGACTCCCGTGCCCACAACCCCCAAAACATATAGTAACATCCGCCGCTCTGCGGTTGATCGGGAGTTTCTGTATATGAAAGAAGGGGCGCGCGCTTCTGGGCGAGAGGGAAATGATCGAGAGGGGAACGAGCGTGAGCATCGCGAGAGCGAGGCTCGCGAGGGGGCGACCCAGCGGCGAAAAGTCTGCGAAAATCGCGCGCCCCGAGAAATCTCCTCCTCCTCCTCCTCGTCCTCCTCCTCCTCCTCCTCAATTCATCGTCCTACCGCATCCACATTATTCTCCTCCTCCTCCTCCTCCTCCTCCTACTCCTGTTCATCCTCGTCCTCCTCCCGCACCCTGGCCCTCCTCTTCCGCCTCCTCCTCCTCCTCCTCCACCTCCCCCTGCTCTTCCTCATGCCGCATCCTCGGCCCCCGCCGCCCCAAAAAGTCCCGACCCCTTCCCCAGATCCGTCTTTGCTGCGCCATGATGCCAGAACGCGGCACCGAAGGCCGAAACCGAGGAAAGCCACCAGGATTGAAAGAATCATCTCGTCGGAGATCAGGGCCCTCCGCCTCCTCCTCTTCCTGCTCGTTCTCCTCCTCCTCCTCCTCCCCCTCCCCCTCCCCTCCCACCTCCTCCTCCTCCACCTCCTCCTCCTCCTCTCCTCCTCCTCCTCCACCTCCTCCTCCTCGACTCCGCATCCTCCTCTTTCTTCCCTCCGGAGCCGCTCAGGGCTCCTGTGGGGGCACCTCCCCCGGGCCCTTTTTGTGGGTGGTCTCAAGCGAGGCCCGGTTTGGGGAATTTTCCAGCGGATCCGCCGGATCTGTCCGGAAACGGTGCCGGAGGCCGCTCTGGGCTCCTCTGGGCACCTCCCCCGGGGCCGGTTTTGTGAGGATGTCTCAAGCGAGGGCGCCGGTTTGGGATTCGTCACCGGATCCAGCGGATCCAGCGGATCCGTCCGGAAACTGTGCCGGAGGCCGCTCTGGGCTCCTCTGGGCATCCCCCCCGGGGCCCGTTTTGTGAGGATGTCTCAGGCGAGGGCGCCGGTTTGGGATTCGTCACCGGATCCAGCGGATCCAGCGGATCCGTCCGGAAACGGTGCCGGAGGCCGCTCTGGGCTCCTCTGGGCACCTCCCCCGGGGCCCGTTTTGTGGGGATGTCTCAAGCGAGGGCGCCGGTTTGGGATTCGTCCGCGGATCCACCGGATCTGTCCGGAAACGGTGCCGGAGGCCGCTCTGGGCTCCTCTGGGCACCTCCCCCGGGGGCCGTTTTGTGGGGATGTCTCAAGCGAGGGCGCCGGTTTGGGATTCGTCCGCGGATCCGCCGGATCTGTCCGGAAACGGTGCCAGAGGCCGCTCTGGGCTCCCGTTTTGTGGGGATGTCTCAAGCGAGGGCGCCGGTTTGGGATTCGTCCGCGGATCCGCCGGATCTTTCCGGAAACGATGCCGGAGGCCGCTCTGGGCTCCTGTGGGCACCTCCCCCGGGGCCCGTTTTGTGGGGATGTCTCAAGCGAGGGCGCCGGTTTGGGATTCGTCTGCGGATCCGCCGGATCTGTCCGGAAACGGTGCCGGAGGCCGCTCTGGGCTCCTGTGGGCACCTCCCCCGGGGCCCGTTTTGTGGGGATGTCTCAAGCGAGGGCGCCGGTTTGGGATTCGTCCGCGGATCCGCCGGATCTGTCCGGAAACGGTGCCGGAGGCCGCTCTGGACTCGCGCTCTTCGCGCCGGGGGTGAGGATGACGTGAGTTCCACAGAAACTCCCTCAAATTATAAGTATTATTTATGTATGTGTATATATTTAATTTGATAATGATATCAAATATTATATACATATACATAACATACATTTACTTATAATCGACACCCTCCGGTGATAAGGGGCCCGGGGGGGGGGGGGGGGGGGGGGGGGGGGGGGGGATGGGGGGGGTGGGAGGGGAAGGGGGGAGGGGGGGGTGAGGGGGGGGGGGGCAAGCGTCTCGCTCGAAATCGTCTCAATATCGATCTTACTGTGGATCTCACTATCGGTCTCGCTCGATCGATATCGCTCGATCGATCCAAGAATCGATATCATTCGATCTGTTTCATTCGATCGATCCCACACTCGATATGACGACCGATCTCACACCCGATTTCACAATCGATGCCACTACCGATCTCGCAATCTATCTCACATACGGTCACACTATCGATACCACAATCGATCTCACAACCAACGTCATCATCATCATCATCATCGACATCCTCGTCATCAACGTCATCACCAGCACCATCACCATCGGGACACCATCATCATCACCTCATCACCATCATCAGCAGCATCATCATCACCATCATCATCAACGGGACACCATCATCGCCACCATCATCATCAACATCATCATCATCACCCGGGCACTAGCATCACCATCATCATCATCATCATCATCATCGGAACACCACCATCATCATCGTCACCTCATCATCATCATCATGTACAGCATCGTCAACACCATCATCATCGGTACACCATCATCACCACCATCAGCCACATCATCGGCATCCGCATAATCATCATCGGAACACCATCATCATCGTTACCATCGTCATCACCATCATCATCATCATCATCGGGACACCGCCATCATCATCAACACAACATCACCATCGGCATCATCGTCGGGCCACCATCAACAAAACCATGATCACGTCATCATGCTCCTCATCATCAACATCATCATCGACCCCCACCATCGTGTCCATCATCATCACCAACTTCATCATCTTCATCATCACCAGGGCACCATCATCATCACCAGCATTATCCTCATCATCCGCAACATCATCATCATCGGGAATACATCGCCATCATCATCTTGATCGTCATCATCTTATCATCATCATCAACATCATCAGGATCATCAACTGCATCATCATCATCGGGACACCATCATCATCACCCGCAACATCAGCATCATCAACCTCATCATCGCCGGGACACCATCATCATCACCACCACCATGGCCGTCATCATCATCATCATCATCATCACCATCATCGGAATAGCATCATCGCCACCATCATCATGAACATCATCATCATAGGGACATCAGCATCACCATCATCATTGGGAGACCACCATCACCATCACCATCTCATCATCATCATCATCATGGACAACATCTGGGCCAGGGGTGGCTTGGCCTTCGGCAAAAAAACGCGCGTGTATTTCGGGAGCCACATTTGCGCGAAGCCGCCTGCTTGCTCGAGGCGAGCAACCATCGACTCAGATGTGGGCGGGCATTGGAAATTTGATCGCCCCCACCATGTTACGGCGCCAAGGACTCAGGTCAAGTGTTCCGCGGATGAGTTCGGCCCGTGAGTTCTAATCAAACGCCGCCAAAACATTCCTCGAAACATATCCCCCCCCTGTGCCGCCTCCCACCGTGAGTTGGAGCTGGGGCAAGATCGCGATGGCCGCCCTCAAGTGCCAGGACCTCAACGCCAAGATGGCCCTCCTCAAAGCCCACGGGAACAAGGGCGAGAGAGTGCCCCTCGAGGCTGCGTTCACGCCGGACGAGATCTGGCCAGCCTTGCCCTCTTCATGCCATGTCATGCCCTTCCCCATCGCCTCGTCGCCCTCGTCGGGGCCTCGTCGGGGCCCCGTCGGTTTCGGTGTCGTCTTCGCGTCGTCGTCGTCGCCGTCCTCGTCCTGAACGTCCAGGTAGTCCTCCTTGTGATGTCTCCACCCCCAACCCTCCTCCACCGGGGCGCTGCGCGGCCGCTTAAAGACCGCCCGCAAGGGGGGGCCCGAGGCCGAGAAGGCTTACGCGGAGGCCTGGCACCCGATGGCTTGTCACGAGAAGGGTGGGTGTCAATCGGATGATGACAATATGTAGGATTGTATGTGTGATAAATAAGATTTGTAGGCATATAAATAGGTGGCTGGGGATGCTGAGGACGATGAGGCGGACATGCACGGTGACGAAAGGTAGGCTGACGATATGCAGGAAGACGATAGGCAGGATAAGGATAGGTTGGATGATATGCAAGATGGCTTTGGGGGTAGGCTAGGTGGGAGTAGATGCCGGAGAAAGTGCACGAGGATCGGCGGGATGATGATGAGAGGATAGGCGGGATGATGGGTCGGAGGATCGGTCGGATAGGTAAGACGACTGGCAGGATGCACCCCCCCGCCTCTTGCTTGTCAGGCGGACAAGTTGGAAGAGGACAGTGGTGGCGACAAGAAGAATGTCACCAAGAGCAAGCTCCTGATGGGCTACTTGGCCGATCCAGAGCTTGGCGAATCGCTCATGAAGGTGGTGAATACAATTTGTTTCACAGAAACGGTCGAGCAGGAGTCCGCGTGGACGTCCAAGAAGCAGATGAAGGACGCGCACTCGTCGTCGGCGGCGGAGGAGATGATCTCAGAGGGCAGGATTGAGGCCTAACTCGTCTGAAATATGAAAGGCTGGCGAGGATGCGTTCTTCGGCTGTTTTTTCGGCTTCAGGTTATGATCGCTTGAATGGGGGAATGGACTTGGAGCTGTTTTGTTCGGCTACAGCAGTGGTTATTTCTGGCGGCGCCCTGCGTCGAATTTCCCCGCGGCACGCCCCTTTCCTCGGGCCCGCCCCCCCGCGCTCGCGCGGCCACCGCTGCGCCGGCAGGGGCCTTCAGCCTGGCGGCGCTCGGACTGTAAATTTCTGCGGTTCGGCGCCGAGCTCCCCGCGGAATCCCACCTCGGCTCGGGGCAGTGGGCTTTCCTGGAAACACAAAGATTGCGATGTGGTTTGGCGATAAATTTGTGCGAACACTCACGCACATGCAGCCCAGGCGCGCCCGGGCCCGTCGAACCCTCGGCGGACGCAGCGCAGGCAAGTGACCCAGCGGACCGAAAAGAGCTTCTGGCGCTCCAAGGCGCAGAGCGGCTCGGGGAGGAAGGCCATCAGCGCAGAGGAGCTCCAGGACATCGGCAGCCGCATGGGCGCCCATAGGATAAGCAGCGACCTCGCGGCTCACGGCGCGCGGACCATTTTGAAATGCCTGTTTCAAATTATGGACGCCTCGCGCGCCCCCGCCAGCCCATCCAGAAACGATCAGCAGGGGGGTCGGCGAATCAGGGGCGGCGGGACGCATGCAGTCGCGCGGCCGTCATTGAGGGTACAAGGATCGCAAAGAGCTTCCCGCGCTGGAATTTAAGACGGAAGACAGCGCAAGCTACGATGGTGCCTCGATGAGGGTTGAAGGGTGTTTCGATGACTCGCAATGGCTACTGCGCTGAGTTGCATCATCTTAAACCCGCGTGCGTTCCGAAACTTGGAGCCAAATTCGGGTCTCTTGGAGGTCTCCTGGGCCCCTCTTGGGGCCTCCTGGTGCTCTTTCACGGGGTTATCCTGGGGCCCTCTTAGGGCATTATTGGAACTATGTTGGGGCGCCTTGTGGCCTTCTTTTTACCTAACAGCGAAGACTGATAGGTTTCTAGTAGTGTCAAAAGAAAGCATCATGACTCCCCAAGGGGGTCTGGGCGGGATCCGGACGGGATCCGGGGGAATCCGGGGACTCCTGTTTTAGCCAACAGTAACGCACTTCGTGGTCTTCGAGTTCCCAGAACTCCATTCCTGGGCATGACTTTGAATGCCCTGAAACAGCTGTAGGCCACTTCGTGTTCTTCGAGTTCCCAGAACTCCATTCCTGGGCATGACTTTGAATGCCCAGAGCCAACTGTAGGCCACTTCGTGGTCTTCGAGTTCCTAGAACTCCACTCCTGGGCATGATTTTGAATTCCCGGAGCCAGCTGTAGGCCACTTCGTGTTCTTCGAGTTCCCAGCACTCCTTTCCCGGGCCACATTTTGAATGCTGAGGCGGGCTGATGCTGAGGCTGAGGCAGGCTGAGGCTGAAGCAGGCTGAGGCTGAGGCCGAGGCTGAAGGCAGACTGAGGCTGAGGCTGATGCAGGCTGAGGCTGAGGCTGAGGTAGGCTGAGGCTGAGGCTGAAGCAGGCTGATGCTGAGGCAGGCTGAGGCTGAGGCTGAGGCTGATGCAGGCTGAGGCTGAGGCAGGCTGAGGCTGAGGCCGAGGCTGAAGGCAGACTGAGGCTGAGGCTGAAGCAGGCTGAGGCTGAGGCTGAGGCAGGCTGAGGCAGGCTGAGGCAGGCTGATGCTGAGGCAGGCTGAGGCTGAGGCTGAGGCTGAGGCTGAGGCTGAGGCTGATGCAGGCTGAGGCTGAGGCAGGCTGAGGCTGAGGCCGAGGCTGAAGGCAGACTGAGGCTGAGGCTGAAGCAGGCTGAGGCTGAGGCTGAGGCTGAAGCAGCCTGAGGCTGAGGCTGATGCTGAGGCTGAGGCTGAGGCTGAGGATGAGGCTGCTGCAGGCCGAGGCTGAGGTAGGCTGAGGCTGAGACCGAGGCTGAAGGCAGATTGAGGCTGAGGCTGAAGCAGGCTGAGGCTGAGGCAGAGGCAGGCTGAGGCTGTTGCTGAGGCAGGCTGATGCTGAGGCAGGCTGAGGCTGAGGCTGAGGCTGATGCAGGCTGAGGCTGAGGCAACCTGAGGCTGAGACCGAGGCTGAAGGCATAACCCCAGGAAGCATTTAAGAACCCACCCGGCGATATCGTAGCACATCATTCTTTATTCGATATTCCGAGGGGCCGAAATAGCCGAACGATAGCTTTAGCACCCGGACACAAAACAAATTCGCGGCGGCCTGGCCCCTGGGCCAAGATCGGAATTCGAAATTCAAATCTGCGTGGCTCTCATGAAAGACTCAGGATGTCGCTTGCTGCTTAGAAAGTTCATGCAATGATAATAGTATCAAGATTTGGAAGCATTTCTGAGGATCCCTAACGAATTCAATGGATCCATCAGGTTTCATACAAGTTTCGCAGGATTTTCAAGGATTCCTGAGGATTCACAAATATTCCTCCGGGTTCATAAAAGATTCAAAGGATGTCTAAGGATTCCTGAATATTTCCAAGGAATCCAAAAAGGATTCCTCTGGAATCTGGAGAATTCCAAAAGATTCGCAAGAATTCCTCAAGAGTCCTAAAGGTTTTCGTTTACTGCATCTAAAAGAAAACTAAGAAACCTGAGAACTGAGAAACCTGAGAAAACCTGAGAAAAGCTGAGAAACGTAAGAAAGCTGAGACAATTGAGAAAAAACTGAGGAAAGCTGAGAAACCGGAAACAATAAAAAACTGAAAAATCTGAAAAACTAAAAAATTTGAGAAAGCTGAGAAACCTGAGAAAAAGCTGAGAAACTTGAAAAACTTGAGAAAACTGAGAACAGTTGTTTAAAAATTCTCCTTATATATATATATATATATATATATATATATTATTAGTATTATTATTATTATGATTATTATTATTATTATTATTAAAAAATGAGAAAGCTGAGAAACCAAAGAAAAGCTGAGAAACCTGAAAAGGCGGAGAAAACTGAGAAACCTGAGAACTGAGAAGCGGACTCCTTTTTTCTTGATTTTTTCCTGATTCCTTTCTTCTGCGCCTGTGTACAGCGATGCTGTCTGAAGTGAAAGGGTGAAAGCCTGACGTCTGAAGAGGGGAGCCATCTCGCTGACAACGCGAGCGCTGAAAACGCCATAGCGCTTGGACGATGGAAAAAACGTGCTGAACGCTTGAAAAACTGTCCTGTGAGCGCTGAAAATCGAAACGATGCTGAGCACTGAAAGCTGGTCGTGGACTGCGATCTGAGCAAGGCGCCCAGCTCTGAAAAGACGTCCAGAAAAAACTGATGCCTGGATTCAGAGGAGGCCCCTGAAAGGCGCGGCGCCTGCAATCTGAAGGCGGCTCAAAAGCTGACTCTTCGGCTGATCTCTGGGGGGCTCATCGTAGCTGCCGTTGTGAGAGTCCTCGCTCCCCTGAGCGCTGCTGTCTGCTCCAAGGACTGACGCGGCCTTCTGGACTGACGCTGCAGGCTTCTTCTGAACCACGAAAGGCTTCTTCTGATCCTTGTGGACTGACGCGGCAGGCTTCTTCTGAACCACGACAGGCTTCTTCTGACCCTTCTGGGCCTTGACAGGCTCCTTCTGGACTGACGCGGCCTGCTTCTTGTGGACTGACGCGGCAGGCTTCTTCTGAACTGACTCTTGAGCCCTCCTGCGAGCTTCCCTGAACCTCTTCGCCCGAAGCCTTTTTTCCTGAGATCGCTCTTCCTGACCCTCTCAATGTAAGCATGGCGCTGAGGGTTCTCCTGGCGTTCCACCTCCTTGTCGCGGCCCTGAGGAAGCTGATGAAACAGGTCGAACTGACTAGTCGTGTTCTCGCTGTTCTCGCTGTCTGACATTGCCCGAGAAGATAGGCCTGAAGCTTGCCTGAGAAGATAGGTCTGATAGCGCCGCTGCAGGTGGAAGCCTGAAGTTTGAGCCTGAGCCTTCGCGCCAACGTGAATCTCCTGAAGTGAGCTATGGAGGAGCTCAGAAATTTCAGAGAGACTGAAACCCTTGCGTCGAGGCGTGCTAAGAGGCCTGCCTGGGAGCCTGCTTAGAGGCCTGCTCAGGAGCCTGCTCAGAGGCCTGCGTCTGCTTAGGCCTGCTTAGGAACCTGCTCAGAGGTCTGCTTCGGAGGTCTGAGAGGCCTGCTTGGGGGCCTCTCTGAGAGACCTGCCGAGGACCCTTCCCAAAGAAGCGTTCCCTGCTCCTGCTTCTCATGTTTTTTCCTGCTCATGTTCCTTGTCTTGCTCCTCCTTCTCCTCTTCTCTTCCTCCTCCTTTTCCTCCTTCTCCTTCTCCTTCGAATCTTATTGCTGCTCCTCCTCCTCCTTGCCCTCCTTCTCTTCCCCTTTTTCTTCGTTTTGATTCTTTATCTTTTCCGAAGAGAGTTCTATTGCAAAGCCCTTCGAGAAATTGATGTTCATAAGTGCGGCCGTCCTAGGGGGAGGGGGGGGAGGGGGGTCCGCGAGAGGGCACCCCCCCCCCCCTTCTCCGCCCCCCTCCCCCCCTCCCCCCCCCCCCCCACTCCCCCCCCCCTCCCCCCTCCTCCCCCCCCCTCCCCCCCCCCCCCCCCCCCCCCCCCCCCCCCCCCCCCCCCCCCCCCCCCCCCCCCCACCCCCCCCCCCCCCCCCCCCCCACGCCCCCCCCCCCCCCCCCCCCACCCCCCCCCCCCCCCCCCCCCCCCCGCCCCACCCCCCCCCCCCCCCCCCCCCCCCCCCCCCCCCTTCCTTCCCCCCCCCCCCCCCCCCCCCCCCCCCCCCCCCCCCCCCCCACCCCCCCCACCCCCCACACCCCGCACCGCGGCGTTTAATCTTAGCACCCGTCCACGCGAAAAAACACAATCCAGTTCCATTCCTGCGGGTGCCCTAAGGATTCCTAAGGATTCATCTAGGATCATTAAGGATTCCCTTACGATTCCTGCGCATTTCTAAGGTTTTCTATGGGTTCCTCCGGATTCCAGAAGACTCTCTTAAATTCCTAAGGGCTCGTCAGGAATTCCAAGGGATTC